GCGTTTCCATCGACGCGGTCCGGTTTTATCAATCGTGCCGACCACGACCACGACGACATCAAATTATTCTGTTTATCGAACGAAAACGCTCTCTCAACAGGCGTGCTCGATACGTCGTTTATCTGCTGCTCCGCCTCGTCGTATTTCTGCCCCTTACGGCCCCTGCTATCTACTGCTCCCCTCTCCTCTCCCCTTCCCAACTTCTACCGCTTTTACGACACGTTCTCTCCCTCTTTCTTCTTGTTTCTCTTTTCTTGCGACCGATTCTCGGTCGCGATTTTCGGCGTTGCTCGTCGGCGGCGTTGACAAAATGCCGGGACGGGTAAGCAACCGAGTGGCTGGCCTCGAGAAAAGGGTGCGGGGATCGAACGGGATGGGGGAGGAGGGAGGGACGTGACAGAATGACACGAGCCGTCCTCCTCTCAGATACGTCCAAGCGATCGCGCGCCCCGCCCCTCTCGGCCCCGGACAAATTATTAATCCCCGAGTCTTGACCCCTTTCGCCTCTTAATCCGGATAAAGAGAGATATCTCGCGCCTTTGGGGACAAAAGGAGCGGTCGAAGTGGTCTCGACGACGACGACGACGACGATGGCGGCGGCGGCGGCGACCGACCCCTTTCCCTCTTCTCCCCACCTATTCTCGTTTTCTTTTTACCTTCCTGTCTCTACTCCTTGTCCCCCTCCTACCTGGCCTCTCCCCGGCCAACTCGACTTTTCGTCTTTCTTCTTTTCTTCTCTGTCGCTTTGGTGTCCTCTTAGACACGAAAAAAAGATTTCTCCTTCTCTCGTTCCTTTTTTTCTTTTCTTTTCCTTTCTTTTCTTTTTTTTTCTTTCCCTTATCCCCTCCCAGTTCCCTTCGACCGTTCACCGTGACGAGGAGATAGCGTTTATCCACCGCGACTTATATTAGCTTTTTAGATATCTCCTCCCTGGAATCCGAAATACGAGGGAATTCTTGTTTCGCCGTTCCCAGATTTTTCTGTTACGTTTTTCTACGTTCGTTCGAGAGAACGCGGCGAAATTGCGGTGGAAACGAAAACCACGAAAATCCGGGAAGACACTTCTCAAGGGTGTAAAAATCTATAAATTCCCGAGAGGGGATATGTTATACGTTTACAGGGATGGCGGTGAAAATTTATTCTCGAGCAATTACTCTTCATGCGCAGTGTGTCCATTATACCCTTAGCCGAGTTGGAAAAAAAAAAAAAAAAAAAGGAGTGAAAGGGACTATTATGGCTTTCGAGTTGATTAAAGTCGATATTGGAATTCGTATTCGATGAAAAGTTGTAATCCTTTAATCGAGGAGAACGTTTTTTTTTTTTAATTTTAACGCGTTTACAAAAGCTCGAGTGAAAATAATTTCTTTCTATCTTCTAACAATTCGAACACGAGGATATTATAAAATTTTTATTCAAATTTCCTTTCCTTCGTATTACTCAAAATTATATTAGAAACTAATCGCATCATACGTCGAAACTCCCCGTCAGAAAGATAAACCGCACGTCTCATCATCTAAATGAAACAACTCGCCGAACAATCAAAACGACCGAGCAAACTTCCCCCCCCCCCTCTCTCCCTCC